CTTCCTGTCAAAAAGCTACATGCAGAATGTTGGCCTAAAACATCTACTGGCATACCAGCGCTCCTGCTGACCCCACCCTGACCCCTGCTCCCCTAGGAGGCCCCGCAGACAGAGTCCCTACCCCTGTGTGCCACACAATGTTCAGCACGAGAGAATGGCCCCTGCCTTGTGACGGTGCCATCATTTACTCCACGGGCCATAACTACCCCCCATCAGCCAAAGAAGGACCTTGGGAAGGGGAGCAGGAAAAGTAACCAGGCAGCCACGCTGTTCCCATCCACGCCGTGTCCCTACATTGGTGCTCACAAACATGACTCCAAGGCAATGCACGGTCTGGATTCCCACGGACACAGCAAGGCCAATTTCACAGTTCTAATGAAAACACGTGTTAGAAAGAAGTTTTAAAAAAATGAATGTTAAGACAAAGAGATACCCTTTCTGCTTAAATTTGAACTTTCTCTTACTTGAGATTTTTTTGACTTTGTCTTCCTTGTTACACAGGGTGAAGAACACTTACTTTTTGGGCAAAAAAGGAAAAGGAAAAGAAAGGAAGGGAAGGGAAGGATGGAATGACAACGAAAGAGAGCAAAACAATTCAAAGTACTGAAAGATTAAAAAATATTGTGAATTTGGCTCAGCACCCATAGCTCAGTGGTTAGGGGGCCAGCCATATGCACCAGGGCTGGTGGGCTGGAGCCCAGCCTAGGCCTGCTAAACAACAATGACAACAACAAAAAGACACCCAGGCGTTATGGCAGGTACCTGTAGTCCCAGCTACTTGGGAGGCTGAGGCAAGAGAATCACTTAAGTCCAAGAGTTTGAGGTTGCTGTGAGTGGTGATGCCATGGCACTCTATCAAGGGTGACACAATAAGACTCTGTCTAAAAGATATATATATGTGTGTGTGTGTGTGCATGTATATAGTGTATTTATCCATATTAATTAGAAAATTACTTACTTCATCAAGTAAATATTCCAATTACCAGAAAACTGTTAAGGCACTTTTAGTTGTATTTGTTATAGCGGTTGAATTTGTACCCTGAACCACACTATTAATCAACATTTTTAAACATTTTAACCTTATTTCTAATGCTTTAAGGATGATATCACTTCTCGAATATGCTACACTTTTCTTAGCCCATTAAACAAGCCAGATGGGACATCATTTACTCTTGCTTGAATGGAGAAGTGCCATTTCTATTGTTTTTAATTTTTACTTTTTATTTTTTTATTTCAGATTAATATGAGGGTACAACCGATTAGGTTACACTGTGTGCATTTGTTAGGGAAAGTCCCTGCTGTAGTAGGGTCTCCCACCCAGGAGGTGTGCCTTATACCCTCACATTGTACCCATTAGGTGGGAGCACACCAATCCCCCCCCACCTTCCTTTCCCCCCAACTCGACATAACTGCTATTTCAAACAATAACACCAAGATAGGACTCAGGTGTACAGGACTCGGTTTATTCATGCCTAAGTCCTGCAGTTTTTCTGACTCTCCCTTCGCTATCAAAATCCACACACGATGCTTTCATCCAGAACCTCAAACATAAAAGTGCTCAATAAATGTTATGGATAACTAGTATTGTTATTAATATTATTACCACTGAGGTATTAATACTGGGGACAGATGGCTATTTTTAAAAGCCAGCGCTTTTTTCTTCCTGCTTAAATCAGAACTGTAACCCTGACTGTAAAGACACAGACAATGGAGACCCCACCACTCGGAGACCTCACCGCCAGCTGCATCTGCAGAACGGAAGCCATAGTGCTTGTCCTTGGGGTCGATGCTCTCTGTCTGTTTAAAAATACCTCAGTGGTCTTTCTAGTTATGAAATGCAAGAAAAAATCTACCTGTTGATGTTGGAAAATTCTCTGAACTAAGGACCTAAACCAGCAGCAGAGGATTCCAACTGAGAGTCAATGTTCTGCTTGACAAACAAAGAAGGCTGTTTTCACGGCGGTCGGAGTATGGCTCCTCATAGCAGGCAGGAGGTGAAGAGGTTTTATTTTCTTTGCCTGGGGTCAGAGGGGGCAGTAAGGCCGTAAGATAAGTAAGGCTTTCCCTGCCTGAATATGACACGGTCATGTCACTACAGGCCTCATCCTGGGAGAGATGGCCAGATGGGCCCTGGGAGGGACCTGACCTCTGAACTCGAGAGCCCTGACATCTGACCACCAGCTTATCCTTCCTCTTCTTCATGTAATTCACTCATGCTATCCTCAAGGCTCAGCCAAGCAATTAAATGTCACAGCCTGTGTGAAGTGCTTCCTGGGTCTTGAAGGGAGGTCGTGGACCAGGGGGAGGTCCCACCTGTGCCTAGAGAAGGACAACAGAACAGCACCAGGCAAAAAGTGGCAAATGTTACACAGCAGAGCCCTGTCATACGGTCAGCATGTGAGGTGTCCGCAGAAGCACTCAAATACGAGCTCGCCAAAGGCTCCAAAAAAGGCTATTTTACTATAATAATATTACTGATACCAATGTAATAATCATGTTATTATTGATATAACAAAATTGTGTTGTTATTATCATATTGATATTATTATTGCCGTATTCTTTTATTGTTTTCTCTTATTAATATATTATCATATGACTGCACCAATAATTATTATTAGCCTTTTAATGTCCAGTTGTATGTGCAGACTTCACCCCCAAAATACCTTCCCCTTCAAATCTAAAGCTGCTAAGTGGCTAAAACTGAGCTCGTAAGAAACATGATTACAGTAAAGGTGACCAGATTCTGGAGGAAAGCGTGGAAGCATTTTCCTAGTAATAAAACACAAGATCTTTAAGGTTAGACCAAGTAGTATCTTATTTCCCTTGGTCAGGAATTTTTTTTAACAACTTCTGGCTCCCCAAATGTGTCCCAGATAGTTAAAATCACCAAATGAGTGGCCATTTGGTAAATGGAATGGAACTGTACAATTTCCTTGCAAGCTTCTTTACAGTGAAAGTCCTTTCATTATGGGGAAATGAGGTGTCGGGGTCTAGGAAATTGTCAAAATAAAAACTGAGGAGACAATAGGTTGCCAACTTTATCTTGCCAATTAAGAACATTTTTTAACGTTGCCAAATCCTATCAACATACAACATGTTTTACCGCCAAAACAGTAGGAAACAGATATTTCAGAATAAAGAACAGTCGTGGCATCATTGTAACTTCATGGAGACATTCAGAAGGCTCTGTTTCTCCCGTGTAATCATGGAAGGGTAGGAAATTCATGCAAATCGATACCTAGTTTGGAACCCTCTTAGCACACTAAGCCCATAGCTCGGGAAGCTGTCTGGGCTATTGGCTTAAAATAACTTCCATACATCTTTCTAAATATATGCAAAGTGGATTCAAGGAAGAGTTATGACCTGTTGACCTCAAAAAAGAAACTCTGTGAGGCAGTGGGATTAGGCCTGCCTGCTTTGTGCACCCCGAACTGTCACCCAACCCCCCCAAATGCTTCCTTCCTGATCTGAGGTACCTCTGAATGTTAGGAGCACTAAAAATTGCCCTTTTCAGGAGACAGAAAATTGCTAAATTAAGTTTGTTCCATGGAGTGAATTTCCATTCTTCCTGGCCCCAGAAATGCTGTGTCTGGTGGTAATTTTCATTCTTGGGTCACAGCCCCCAGGAGAGTAGGAGACAGGCCAAATAAGAGAGAGAAGTTTTCAGTGTGTTTCTTCGGATCCTGGATTTGCTCCCTGGATCTATAAATGGAAGGGCTGCCGTCCTCCAGCCCTCAGATGCAATTTCCAGACTCCCGCAAGCATGCAGGTAGATGAGTGGGTAAGACCTGCCCTATGCCAGCAGAGATCCGATTCTAAAGCTGACATGAACATGAGAAAAAGAGGTTCTCTCTGGTAGAAAAATGACCAGTGACAGAAGATTCTTCCTCACGAGATAGCTAAGTAAAAGCTCCTTTTACTAAGACCAGTGACCCCCAAATAACTTTGACTAACCTTCCCCCACCTGCTGTTTTTCTTTTCCAGCATTTGGAAGAACTGCGGAAAACCAAGAAGATAAAGGTTGAATTCATTACCAGCTCTTCCAGAAACGGTCTTTCTGATGACCTGAAATAATTTCCATACATTTTCCTAAATATATGAGAGTTAATTGCCAATTTGCATTTTGATTTCAGTATTCAGGTCTCAGGATGGAAGCACAAGCCTCTATTTCAAGCAAAGCAAATGAAGGAAAACTCGGGCAGCTCGTTTTCTAATGCCCGAAAGGCTGGTGGAGAGCAAGCTTAATACTGTCTCTTCTCTACCAGCCTCTTCAAAGCCAGCTCAGGGAGGACACTTTCCCTTGGGCTCGAGTTGCTTTGCGACTATGGTTACATCGGAGGGTTTATTCTCCACCCCAGCTTCTCCAAGTCATTTGTAACTCTTAAAAGGGTCACAGGGTTTTAATTTTGCCTGACTTGCCTCCTTCTAGCCCAGCCTGACATCAGCAGCGTTTATAAGCGGGAAACTATGAATTAACACCCCCAGTTTTCCTCCGGATCCCTGGCTGAGGCTCTGTTTGGGAAGACGCTCCTCTGTCCCTTGGCACTGACCTGCTCGCCTTGCTCATTTAAATGTCTCAAGCACATCATCTGCTTCTACCAAAATCAATGACGGATGAGTTCTGCGAAGTGGCTTCCAGAGCCACCCTGGTAGGAACAATCGAGGTGGGGGCGGGGAAAACTCAGTGTCTGAAATGCTAATTCAGACGAGAGGTTTAATAATGTGTGTTTAGCTATGACCTTAAAATCTGCTCGCCTTACAACTTTCCCCATCTGGTGTAATTTGCTTTTTCCACTTGTAAAAATGCACACGACAGCATGCTGTGTGTCCCGTCTTGTAACAATGAGGCCTCACCGCCTCGTGCTTCACTGAGGGAGACTTCTTTCTCATCCTGTCTCTCCAAGCTCCCAACCTGCTGTCGCATTTTGCAGTGGGGATCTGCCCGAGTGCCCGTGCCCCAGCCCAGTCCCACTGCGGAGAAGGAGATGATGGAGCCGTACCTTGTACCCGGGTTTCCGCCCTCTTTTCTTTGGTATCTTCACTGCTGGTGAAGAACCACCTGAAGCAGAATAAAGGGTATGAACTGCCATCTTCAGAGGTGTGGAGTGAAGTGGGGGTCGGCCTCGCTTTCTCCCCGGGGTCCTCTGAGACTGCATTTCTGCCGGTGCCAGTCTTACAGAATGAGGTGACAAATCGCTCACAGGCAGAGGATGTGCTAAGAATTAGTCCAGACACAAAGCAAAACAAAAACAGAAGTGTTTGTTTGGTTTGCAAGACAGACATGGATCCTGTTTGGTGGTTTTGGTGATACCTACCACTTAGTGGAGGGGAGACCCGGGACAAGGGATCCAGGCAGGAGCTGGAGCACTCACAAGGCTGTGGGGCTCCAGGGCTGTTTGCTGTGATTCAGGGGAAGTGAATTTCCATGGGGCTATCGTGAGGTAGAGAAGATACTGGCTAGGTGGAGAGAACCATAGATTCCTGTCTCCAAACACAGCTGATGATGTCCCCAGTGACAGGATAACTGTGTCTATGTTTCTGTCTCCTCAGGTAAAATGTGAACTGATACAATAATAGTATTGAATAAAGACAAAGCCAGTCTCTCCCATTCATGCCTGTCTCTTTGGTTGGGTTGTGAGTTGTCCATTATCACTTTTTCCCTTGAAATACATTCAATAGTAAAAATCAGCTATTCAAAAGTTGATGATGCCCCTCTATCAAAATGTGGAGATTTATGAACTCAGATGTTCATTTTAACATTGTTTAGAAGTGCAAAAATAAAATTGATACAACCTAATAGCAGGCAATAGGAAAATAGTTCCTACATTTACAGAAGAAAACAATTTAATCAACTAATTAAAAGCCTATACCACTACCACTCTCTGAATAACATGATGTTGGATAAAAAGGCATCACACATAAGAATGACCCAACTATGCAAAAATGTGTGTGGTCAAGAAGAGGAGGGCTGCCGTGGACTCAGGGCTATAATCCCAGTGCTTTGGGAGGGCGATAGGGGAAGATCACTTGAGACAAGGAGGTCAAGGCTACTGTGAGCTATGACTGGGCCACTGCATTCCCGCCTGGATCACAGTGACACTGTCTCTCAATATAAGTGATGGAGACATGCTAAAATACCACCAAAGCAAAGATGGTAGAATTCTGAGTGATTGATCACTATGCGCAATCCTCTGTATAGTCACTCCACCTACTATTACAATCTTAACATAGCACTAAAAATACAAATAGTAAGAATTGCCTGAATCTTAAGGTTGGATCAACCTTAAGGTTGGATCAACCTGGACCCAGAGAACACAGCAGTATCGTGAGCTCCAGTGTCAGATTTCTGGAATGTTCAGGAATTTGACAAGTGGGACGGAACTTTAGACTTTAACTCAGGAGTGATGTTGGGTGATGTAATTCATTTCTAAGAATCAGTGTAACTTCTAGTTGAAGTGAGAGGCTTTTGCATAAAAGGCGTCAGAATGAGTTGGAAAGGCAGTGAGAGCTGTCCCTGCACCCCAGGCAGTACCACAGGAACTGGATTGCTCTGCCCAGGAAGGAAAATACAAGATAGTGTAAGAAGAAATTCTTAAAAACACGGTAAGGGAAATAGAGGGCATCCTTTATAGATTGAAAGTCACTTTGTTAATTGTCTGAATATTAACAGTATGCTATCAAATGCTGTTCTTGGAAAAATCATTATAGTTCATAAGATTTTGAAGTATAAAGTTATTTGTTGAGTGTACTGTTAATAGTTCAGATAAATGGACAAGATGGTTTAGATGTCAATTTTTCCAATTCTTGTGAGTTTAAGAAAAATACCCTATCTCACTGACTCTAAAATGCAAGTTGTCACACTCATTTACATCTCTGAACTCGGGGTGTACCACACAGCACTTTAAGCATGTCAGATTTCCATAGGGAACACATTTTTTTCTTTCCTAGGGGCACGTAAAATAATGATGTATGTAATTAAAGGTATCTTAGAGGCAAGAATTCTGATCAGGGGACATAAACTCATTAACAAACAAAAAAGTCATTCTATTTCTAGACTTAGTGTCTGTATACCACAGTGCCAACAGAGAGCCAAAAATTCGTTTTCAAAAAAGAAGCTATCAACTATATTAAAGAACTATGGAAATTTATATAATAAGATGTGCTTATACTATCTGAAAGTTGGTCTGAGTCCCATTTTGAACTACAGTATTAGCATCAAGTTTCTACTCCATCATTGGTTTATCTCTATAGCCTTTACACGCGGAAATTTTTCCTAGTTTAAGATATGTTTCTCTGTCCTTCTACGCTGAAAGTCAGAAATGCATCCACTAACATCAAGATCAAAAGTAAACAAGAGAACACCCACAATCAGAGAAGGCATTGCATCTCTTTCTGCTAGCAGCCACTGTTAACCTGAACGGCCATTTCGTGCAGGGCGCTGCTGGTCAGGCCCTAACAAGGCCCCAACAAGCCCGCCTGCCGACATCTGAACATTGTTTATTCACTTCCAAGGCCTCCTGTCATAGATAAGTTGGGGAACTGGACTCCATGGTACCAGTCAAGGACCCAGGGCTCTCTGTGCACCCAGTGAAGTGTTCACTAACTATAAATACCTTAAAGTTATAACCACTTTAAGGCAGGAAGATATTGTGTAACTTTGTAACCTAGGAGGAAAAATCTAACATATATTATGACGAGTAATAAAAGAATAAAAGTAACAAAGGGAAACAGGAGGGCAGAACAGCTCTCGGAGGAGATGTCCTCACTGTTCTCTGGAATTGTTGGCTTTTGTGTAAATATAAGTGAAACTGTTGCTCTCTTATCCACTTCTCCATTGATTGGCTTGGGTGACAAGCAGACAGGCTCCTTGTTCTAGTAACACGGCCAGCCATGATGCTGGGGATGGCTAATTTGTTTGCTTTCAGAATAAACTCTCAGATCCTTCACAGTCCTTCATATAGATTTAATAAGAAGTTAGGGCAGCACCGGTGGCTCAGTCAGTAGGGGACCTGCCCCATATACCGAGGGTGGCAGGTTCGAAACTGGCCCCGCCAGCTAAAACAGCAATGAGAATTGCAACAAAAAGTAGCCAGGCATTGTGGCAGGTGCCTGTAGTCCCAGCTACTTGGGAGGCTGAGACAA